GACAAACACGCCACAGCTGGTCAAATGATGCAAATTCAAAAGCATGTGCAAATATCCACAAATATAGCAATGACCCAAACTCAATGAAAAGTTAAAATGAGCAGCAAAACAACTGCAACAATGGGAAACATGCTGCAAATACCCAAAGACAAAAACACACAAAAGCATAAAAAAGTGCAAAAGAAAAGTGGTGTGAAGAAAGACTTTGCAAGCACACACATCTGTAGATGATGAGCGGTTTAGCTAAGTCACCAATAAAACCTCAGCAACTATTTTCACAACACTCATGTTCACAGCTGTTAAACTTTGTATTTAAAGTGACATTTAGGTCAATTACACGACTCACATAGACCAGGACAAACAGTTCGAAATAATGGTACTGGCAAATGTTACCAAACATGCATGCGCTAACTTTTAAGCTCAACGATTATTCACTTTACCAGCAAACAGGGCAGATTTTACAGCTGGTATGAATATGATATGTGATGGAACAGAGTTGAATCTCGTTGTCATGTTGTTGGGTTCTAGAAGAACAACGTCTTCATTGCATTGGATTTCAGCTCAGCCAATAAAGAAAAACCCAGATCTGCCTCCATGAAAAACAGTTTGTGCAAAACTCATAGCTGCACAGCCCAGCTCCAGGTGGGAGATTGCAGTTCAATAGACCCAGTTCTTGCAACAACCTTAAATTGCCATGTCGGCGGAAAAGCAGTACAGTCCAGAGGAGCTGTTGCAGCTGGGGATGTGACACTGCCAACTCAAGCTTAAAAAACAATAAAACAACAAGCTAGGTCAAACAACAAGCCAAGTTTCCGCAAAATTCTTTTTTAAATCAGAACAACCACTAGATCCATGACAAAGGTGTGTATAGTGAATATATCACTGTGTACCAAATCAGCCAATAGAGAAGTACATTTGCAGTGACCAGTTTGACTCTTGCAGGGGGGCAGTCACCATGCATCTCAATTTCAAAGACCCTAAAATTTGAAAATTTTGTACTTTGTACTCAAATATAAAATTTGGACCTGAGTCGATCAACACCATGACCAAATACCCGTAGAATTTTTGTTTGTTTTTTCCAGCTGAAAAAAGTTATTTGGAACTTAGTGACTCTTTACAGGTTTCAGGGAGCAAAGAGGTTGGATTAAGCCCCTTGTCCATTCAAAAGTGTGCTTTGAGCATGAATCACTGTGTTTAGGGGTCAGGTGAGCATGCAGCAGGGGCATTGCTTGTCATGTTCTATGTGAGCTTTGCCGGTATTTGTTTTGCTTTTCTCTGCCCATCAGCCTTTAAGAGTTGCTCATTACCTTGTGTTTAATTCAAGCTTTTATTTTGAAAGGTAGTTTCAGTCACATGACAGTCTGATCAGGAAAGCACAGATTCTACATGCCATGCGGTCTGCTTGCAGCTCCAGCTATTGTCTTGTTTCCTCCTGCTGTTTGTGCCTAGGAAATTATCACTTGTGAGTATTGTTCACATTTATAGTGAATTCTGTTCTTACATGGGTTCCTGTAGTGCATTTTTGGGGTGTTGGATAAATGTTTATTTACATGTAAATTGTGCAACTGCTAATTTGACAATTGTGGCTGTTTGCGTTGGCATTTCTGTGAATGTATGTTATTATGATGACGCAGTGATTGGTTATTTCTTTGTATCATTTTAGTTTTACTAAACGTTTTTTATGAGAACGAAGATCTCAGTAAAGGACCGTTAACTTCTTCCTGACTCTAAGTTTCTCTTGGGGCTTGTTTGCTATCTGTGAATTTGTGTAGACACACACACTGAAGACTGAATATTGCTTGCTGCATGGTAAATTTCAGCCTCCTTGCATATATCAGCAGGGCTTAAGCCAACATGTGACCTCTCCCAAGTGTGCCCCTATAAATGCCGGAAACACACAAATGTATATACTGTGTATATTAGTGATGTTGTTGCCCACATTGATGTTAAATCCACTTAAAGTATTGGTTGACGCAAGAGTTTCAATAGCTGCGATCTGACATGAGGGACTGAAGAAATTCCGCTCAAACTGAGATTTTATTATCTGTTGGGTGGAAATTATTAGTCAAATCAATTTCATCAACATGTTCCTGAATGTGATGAGCTCAGAGAAACAGCTCTGACTGCCAACTCTGCACATAAAGTCCAAATCTAATGTGAAGCACCCACAGCGGTCTCATGTTGTGCCCTGCATCAGCAACAAAGCTCCGAGCCGGCCGCACTGCTGCGCTGCAAACATGCTGTTTGATTTATAGTGGAGAGCACACAGTGGAGAGTGACTAGTCACTGCATGCTAATGCGCCAAAGTCGAGCCCTGCATACAAATGTCCTCATGCTCTCATTTGCCAACAGTTTTTGCACTTTTCCTTCTTCTATCCTCCTCTCTTTCTCTCTTCTCTGCCCACTCTCCTGCTCTCTCTGTCACTCTGACTTGCGTATTTTGCTCTCTCGGGGAAAAAACACACAGATGACAAATTGTTTGGCTTTCGCTCTACGTAGTGGAATAGTTTCAGCGGTGAAGACAACACGCAAGCAAGGAGCGCCAAGTGGCTCCAACATTTTCCTTTTGTTCTCCGGCTGCTTTCTTTTCCTTTCAGCTGCAGACGTGTTCAGAGCCAGACCCTCACATGGTGCTTCAGAGCTGAAGTGGAGCCACGCATCAGGACTCAGACTGGACTGACATGAAGGAGACAGAAAGCTCTGTTTGGGGCTGTAGGAGCTGCACTCTGGCTGTAATTTGTTCTTATAATGTGGTGGAGGGGATTCTGTAATTACACTTCAGAGAAAACCAACATCTGTCATACTGGTAATAATGTCATTACATGTATGAAAGAACAGAGAGCAATGTCATCAGAGACAAACAAGAGGGATGAGTCACATCAGGAAAACATGCTCAGAAATCATCTCACTAAATGCTAAATTACTTTCATGTGCATGGCGGTATTTCTTGGATTAGTGACATACTTCTCTGATTTGATCTTTTTTATGTTTGAATACGAGTGTAAGAGCTCTGAGGAATCAGAAATACAGAAATACTGTCTCTTGTTCACAGATCAAAGACAAACTCAGCTCCAGATTCAGCTGAATTTGGCATTTTTCTGTTCTTCGCTGTTGTGGACACTGATGACTGATGTGAGTCACAGTGGACGTGTTTGTCTGCAGGAGACATAAACAACAGCAGAATGGAGAAAATAGCTGGAGAGACAAAAAAATGAGATCAACCCTGAAGAATGAGTTCGAACAACACATATGTGAGGGCCTGATTTCCTTACACTGCCATCTGACTTTGGGACACTTGAGATCATCTTTTTCCTGATTCAACCACGGTAGGCCTGCCGCAGATTCTCCTAAACTTCTTCTCTTTACCAAAAACACACTGGACATAGTGTAGAGTCTAGGATTGAAATGGAACACATTATTCATTAAATCATGTACAATCACCTGAACACAGAAGTGTTTTGATCTAGAATCTGACAGCTGAATATCTCTAGATACTCTCATTTCTATGCACTTTACCTTTAAATTCACAGGTGAAAATATGGGTAGTATTTGTATAACTAAGCATGCATGTCACAAAAGGCTCTATCTCAATAATCTAAAGCACCAAGGGAAAGTGCAAAGTGCAAAGAGGTCATACCATTGTGCCCCTTTACAGGCAAAAAACATGCAGAGGACAGTATGAGTTATGCTGACACATGAGTTGATGTCATATGCACGAAACAATCACACTAGAAGTGAAACAGGTCAGAAAGAAGAGAGAGGTCATGGTGTCCTCTTCTTTTGGCATCCTCTGATGGGCTTCATACTAAAAGCATTTACACAATGTGTTGGGGGATCTTTAAGCCCCCAGTCCCTTCAAATAACAATAATATTAAAATGACAACAACAACAAAACAAACAAACACTCTACTTGATTTGACTTGATTTTTGTTGATCTATGGTAATGCACCTGACCACACATTGTTCAAGAGCAACACTCCCATGAGCAAGGGTTCACGAAACTCTGAATTCCCAAGACTAGATGGTATCCTTTCTCACTTTACGTCACTTTGTTTACACAACTACCAGGTTACAAATATAACCTATGAGATTGAAGAGCTTGTGCCTTCCCACACAGATGCTGAATAAACAGCAGACTGTAAAGCCATGCATAAGTTCCAAAGAAGCCAAGCAGCCTGCTTGGTATGTAACTATCACATTCACCCCTATGATTGTACATCATAGTCCAACCCAGACACATCCTATCTCCCTACAAAGATGGCAGGCCTCTTGTTTTTAGTGTTTGATATGATGTTAACTTCCCCCAAGACCTAGAGGCAGAACTCTATTACAAAATGTCAAAGAATAAACCAGTACTTTCTGTCGAGACAGGCTCACTATCTAACAGTTATCCTTCAGGCGAAACATCCTCATCGTTTGAGTGATCCTTGCCTCACAGATTGGCTACTCCCTTATTCTGCATTTGAGCTGTTCTGCAGTTCAGCTATGTGAGATATCTGTGTCCTATTCTGAACCAGCCCCAGGACAGAACCCTGAGGAACGCATGTATTTAACAGGAAAAGGCTTGGACTTGAAGGTTTTGACTTGAATGAACCCTGACCCAGAGAGATAATAGAGTCAAGCCAGGTAAGTATTTGTGGTGTCTAATTTTACTCCATAGGTGAGAATTATTTGTTGGATTTTACAGCACTTATGATAATACACCATTTTTGATTTCAAATCTTCCTACAAACCTTGTGGCTGCAGTTTCAGACATTAAAATAACCACATGGAAATATTCGCTCTTTATACTGATGGTCTGCTTTGCTTTGTTGCTCATAAAGAGACACAGTGTTATTCATAGCCTGTTTTATAACTAGAAAACGTCACACAGCGGCTTTAATTAAGATACTTTTGATGTAACTTAGTCACATCTTATCTGACAGGTCCCTCTTCCTCGATGCGGTCTGAAAAGCCAGCGGAGGACAGCAGCTTGTGGGCTCTCAGAGCAGACACATTTACCCACTCACGCAACACAAGGGATGACAAATACCAAACAAAGAGTGAGCGCTCGGAGTACCACAACACCACCGCAGCCTCTGCATAGTTTCCGTCACTTGTAATGAAATTGGGTTTAAAAGTTGCATTTACGCATCAGCGTCTGCCAGGTCAGCGTGCATGGACTCTTTAATGCGTCTGCAAGTTAGAAAATAAATGAATGTTTTCTTTTCTGTTTCCTCTGTCAGAGAAATATTTTCACTTAGATCATCATTGTTTTGGCATATCAGGGACCCCTAACTGAATTTTACACCAGGCCATTTTCCACATCATCATAATTTGTGGTTTCCAGAGGGAAAAATTTGAATGCAGCAGATGATGTTTGCTATTATTCCCACTGAACAAAGTTGGCGAGGCGTCCATCTCAGACTAATGTAAAAAATGAGAATCAGCTCATTAGGTGCCCATAGAGCAGATATTAGACTGTAGTGTGGTTTATTCTCAGCATACAGATTTTATAACTGCAGCAGCCCATTAATGTTAATCAGCTGAATCAGTGACATGCAGCAGAGCTGTGTAACATGATCATTACCAGAGTCCGGGAGATAATAAAAGAGAGTATGAGGTTACATAAAATGCTCTGATTCTGCAGCCTTATTTCACGAATAATGACCATGAGTGAGACTCATCCACACACATAATGAGCTCTTTTGTCCTGGCTGTGCTGCGGGCGCTGCTATGCTCCGAACTGTTTACATCCTCGACCAGGATTACACACACACTGCAGCTCTGCAGCTCCACCACACCACCCTGTGATATAGAATCAAGAGTCACCGAGGCTCTGATGGGCCCTTTAATCTGCACATCCTTTCAACAGCACTGCCCGACGCTGCAGACACGGGCGGAGACAGATGTGGAGGATGTGAGGGAATTATTTTGACTGGTGATAAACAGCGGCTTGATAATGTTTGGACATTTTTCTGCAACATTTCAATTTGAAGGGAGATTGTGTTGAGCAGGTTTATGTGTTTGTTTGAGTTTATTTTTGTCTGAGACAGCTGGGAGTGATTCAACAGAGACTTTTAACTTTTTGTGCTGAGATTGACTGGTTTGCTGATTTGATTTTCTGCCTTTTCCATCAAACTTGAAGTTTCAATAAAACAGCAGAAGGTATCTTAGACCTCGCCTAAAATATTTTACTCCATACACACAAAATTTGTTATAGGCTCCATCTTGCTACACAACACCCCATGCTGACATTTTAATTCACTTCAAGTGAATTTGGATCAGGGACTTTCCAACGGGAGTTTCCCTGCCCCTAATCGACCCTCCTCATCTGTGGGAGTCTCGTGGCTTTAATTCTCACCACAAACCACCGGAAAGTTCCTCCTCTTGAGCGAAAAAGAAAAAGTAATATCTCAACACTGTGTTGATTTTGACATGATATTTGTATCAAGTCTTAGTAATTTCCAAAGAATTGTTTGTAATTTGAGTCATATTTCACAGTGATATGTTGATTTGGTCAAGATTTAGTCAGTTTTCATGTTATGTCCACATGCAGGGTCTCAAATTATCACCTGTCATCTGTAAACTTTAGAGGGCTATGCACCAGATGTCTTGGTTTAGAGTATTTGTTTCACTGTCTAGCTAAAATGTACCATCATAACTGTGTGTTACAAATGAAAAATTACATTTCTTACTTTGGCAGGTTAAAAAATATTCTCTGTGGGTAATTTTTTTCATCTACCTACAAACTGGGCTGATGAATCTAAAAGAGTAATCTCAGACCATGTTTTCATGTATATTGATTAAAACAAAGCAAAACAAAAGATAGGGATAATGAGTATACAGTGTATCATGAGAGTCTTTTAACAAGCTGCTATTATAATCTATGTTCACCATGTCTGGGTTGGTGAGTAATTAAATGACATCTATTATTTTGCCCCTGTGCCAAAAGTAAATTGCCATGTTATGGACCTTGGCAGTTGCCAAAAGGTTTGTTTGTGAATGTACAAAACGTACAAAGTACAGATTTAGAAAAGGTGGGCGTTTTTGTACACCTCTGTTCCCAGTGGCCCAAAACTCTTAAGTGTAGACCGTTGGTCAAGAGTCAGGGAGAGAAAAGGAGAGAAAGAGAGAGAAAGAGAGAGAAAGAGAGAGAGAGAGAGAGAAAGAGAGAGAAAGAGAGAGAGAGAGAGAGAGAGAGAATAGGTAGTGGGGGGGGTCATGAACGTTTTTTCAGACTTTTTCCTTTCTGATACATTTTTAATAGCCTCAAATTTCTTACAGTGGTGTATGAAAATATCATTATTTCAGCGTCTGTCTGAAACGCTTCAGTTTAGCTGTTGTCTCGTTAAGCCCCCCCATCCACAAGCCTAGCTACTTTATTCTGATTGGTCAACTCTCCAGAGGCTAACCAGAAGCTGGCTGAAGGCAGAGCTCGTTATTTTGGCCCAGCTCCCTCTATAGTGGTCAATCAGTTGAACAGCGGAGCAGCATTACCCCCATAGACATCATATATGTAAATATATACAGTAACCATACACAATATACATATATAATATACAGTATGTATATTTTATATGTATATTGTGTCTATGCTGTTGAAGGCAGCTCGTTCTGCTTTGCCGCAAGCACATGAACCAATAATTATGTCAGAATCTCGCACATAAACTACGGTTTTGCATTTCTGTGCGTTTGTCGGAGATTTGATCAGTTTACATCTACTTTCTCAGATTATGACAAAATACCTTAACCTTGTGATTTAAAACTTTGCATACATCTAGTATGGACACCAAACTTTGTAACTTTGCAGTTTCTGTTGTAGATGTGGAAAAGCATGATACCTCCCCCTTTAAATGTACCCGTGTATGTATGCTTATTTGGTCATCTCCAAGCCTTCCAAAAATCCCTCCCCAATTAATTCTCAAAGAAAGGAGAAAAATAATCTTTTATGACTTTTACATTCCCAGTTTGTTTCCCCCTAATCCTGGAAACCAAGTGTGAACAGCTGAGATAAATCCTGCTGTGTAGAGTTTACCCACCGTATTTCACAGAGTAACCCTTGTGGAAAAGCTAAAATTAACTCTGAATTTACTCTTGGAATTAACTTTTATTGCAGACTCTTTCTCTCCTGTGCTGTGATTGGGATTTTTCTCTCACTAAACACACACAGATGCTCTCAGAATGACTCACCGTGTATTAACGACCTGTTGCTGTTAACACGCTGCATCATTTTTCAACACCTTCATCCTGATATATTGTGTGCTGTTTTAAAAGTAAGCTCTGCAGACTTCTCACCTGAATGCTTGGAGCTTATTTCAGGGAGCACAACCAAATATGTAAGTAAGTTTAGTTTCTCTTGTAGGACCTTTATAGATGAAAAGTCTGAAGACACAATTAAGTTAGGTGACACAAACTATGTACCTTTTGGAGTTTTCTCCATACCAAAGGGGTTATAAAGCTGCAGTTTGCACAGAATTCACTGGCGATTAGAGTGGCAACCCTAAAATTCCTCCTCCAGTGATCAGAGCGTGGACTGATTTCCTGTGTTGTTGTCAATTAATCTGCCAAAACTCCTGCTTTGGTTAATCAACCATAATCATCTCAGCATGTTGCAAAAAGGAAAGGTAGAAAATGTATCTCTCTATTTAAAATTCCATCCGTTTATTTGATTAAACTATTGTATGACCTAACGACAATAGGTTAGATATGCAGCTTCAAATGAGTATTGGGGAGCACATTATGAAACTCAAATTATACACAGGTATATAGTATGCACAGGTACCCTGGCCACTCAGATATGTCAGTGCTTCAGTTGTGAAAGTCTGCACATGAGCAATGCAGAGGAAACAGAAGGACCTGTGTGCTCTCAGGCTGTCTAAGTTGGCTCAACAAAAGCTGAAGGAAAACAATTCTCTCCTGGTTTGCAACAGAATGAGAAGAACATTTTGTCCCAGAAAGATAGCAAAAAGGTGACAATATATAACAGTTGTCTATAAGGTTCAATTATAAGCTCTTCATCTGAGATTTTACCCCACAGAGCACAGAGGCGTGGATGCTGCAAAGATTGGAAGAATATGTCCAACTTTAGTGTCCACTTACTTTTGGCCATAGCGTACAACACTCAAGTGGCATCATTGCCTGTTTCTAATTCTCCTCTCATCACCTCGACTTCCAGCTCTGTTAGCTGCGGCTGTTTTCTGGGCTGTTATACTACGTCAAAAGTGTGTGTGGCAGGGCTTATTTTCATCTCAGCCTGCAAAAATGCAATATGACTCAAGCACAAATAAATCATTCTTGTTTGTTTACCCTTTTTTATGCTGAAACAGATAAGGGACATGTGGGATAGTGAAAGGATATACATGACTTGTCAGGATTCTTGGCAGATCTGAAATCTGGACACCCAGCTTCGCCTGCAGGCTGTGTCAATACGTAAGCCTCTCTGCGTGCCTGAAATCAACTAACCTAACTGCACTGTTGCTTTGTTCATAAATGACAGTAAAAGAGCTGCAATCTCATAATCTGACATGCTACCTTTTCATGCCTGTAGAGCACGTAATAATGTCTTCAAGATGTTGAAGATTGTTGGCTCTAATTTTCCACTCTATTTGTGCAACACTTCTTCGTTTTCCACTCTCAATTACTTTTTTGGCTCTAGGAGGACTTGTCAAGCGCATCTCTTCCTATACTTTTTAAACACTCGTATCTGGAGGCGGTGATGGAGCTTATTTACCTCTGCCAGACACCACAAGGACAGTGTTGCCTTTGTGTATCTGTAATCTTTGCGTGAGTTCCTCAGAGTGGGGGGGAGTGCACATCGTTACCAACAACAGGATGTGACAATGCGCCGCCCCGAGTGGCCCTCTCTCCCTCCCTTGGCTTTTAACCAACATGCAAACATCTTGAAATGCTTAATCTCATCAAGGCTTCTTTCTACCCCCTCTTCACGCCGTCGCTCTCCCTCAGAAGTGGCAGGCTGGTTGGACCGAACACACTCCACCCATCTGCAGCATCCCAGAAAGTGTGGACCACGGACTTGGAGAAAATAATTAGCCTCTGGTCAGCTCCTTTGATGAAAAGCACCAGGGGTTTGTCAACACATTGGAAAGAGCAGATGTGGTGTGTTAAAGCTGGAAAAACAGCACCTCCTGCAGGGAAAACAGATGAAGTTAAACTAAAATGAGTGCAGGTGGACTAATCTAAACAGGCCTGTGGTGACAAAGTGAATACAGTAAACTTAACACCAAAAACTTGAAGTGACAGAGAGGACTTTCTCCTCTATGAGACCATAATCACATCCAGAAGTGTGTCTTTCTCTTTAGCTGAGGGACACAACGCTACAAAGAGACCCGGGACCGACTCGTCATCACGTGGAAGCAGCAGCACTGAGGTCACAGATCTCCCCCATCCCACACAATCTTACATTACAAAGCCACTGTTCATCCATAAATCCCCAGCATCCAGCCATCTGGAGCTCATCTTCACACTCTTGACACACAAACCCCTCTCTCAAGCTCTGACCTCACTCACACAAGTCCCACGAACGAGGGTCCAAGCATGATATCACTGAGGTTTATCTCACTGTGCAAACATAGGCTCATCTGTGCAAACATGATGATTTTCTGCATTATAAAACACAATGCACACATGCATGCTCACTCTCCGCAGACGATGAGCCCAGGGGAGAGGCTGTGCAGTAACAATGAGAGGACAGAAGGGTGGAAAGTTTTGCGCGGCAGAGCTTTTTATCTCAATGCTTTAAAGACAAGTTTGACTTCTTAAGCTCAGTTTGACTCTGGCTGTTGGGTTTCAGTAACTTATGGCTCCGTGTGTCGGCCAGGTATTCGCTCACTTCAGTTTCAAAGTCTCCCGCGAGCTACATTTCACTTTGAAGCTTTGCAGTTCACTGTTTCATATTTTGAAGAAAGCCAACAGGTGCAGGTCTTGGCTGTGCACAAAAACAAAACACAAGCAGGTTTTTTTTAGACTGTTGCTCTAAATAAAAATGAACTGTTGAATTAATAAAACACAGATCCCAAACTGGAGCATTATAAAAGCAGAGCTGTGTTAATATACGAACTAAAAAAGGTGACCTCGGTGTAACAGGCGGTGATGCGGGACCGGCATTGGAGGGCTGCGGTGATGTTGATGGACCAAACCCTCTTTTACCCCCACTTTTGAGAAGATGAACTGGAAAAAACTCTAATCTTCTCACAAAAACAAATACATAAAACCGCAAAAAAACACCACATACTTACTTTTGTAACTATTACATCTGTGCTTTAAAAACAAGCATCAAACTGGTCATGTAACAGATGTAACATACTGGGGCACCTTTGTATCTCTTGTGTCACTTTTTTTAAAAATTATTATTATAATGACAAAATTCTGAGGTATAATGATGTAAATTTTACGCTAATAAAACACACTGATGGGATAAATATCATCTCCTGAAGTGAGCTGATCTAATCTGAGGTCAGGAGTTTAGGTATCTGACAGAAGAGACAGTCTCATTTAAAGGACACACAAAGGTAAATGTCTCCCCACAGTAATTAAGCTCCACAATGGGTTCTGTAATTACTGCAAATGTTATTCCGACAGACGGATTACCTCTCCATTACGTCTGCTTTTGTGTAAATGCGTGTTTATTTATTGTGGTGGAATAACAGTCCACCTGGCGCCGGACATTTCTGAGAATATCTCCGCAAAAGCGAACCATCTCTAACCAGTTTGTAAACAACAGAATTTCATCTTTATTCCTTCAGTTATGTAATCACTGCGTGGCATTTTTTTCACTGCATGTGCTTTAAAAAAAACGACTGTAGTCAAAAATATTCAACAGTGGCAGAAGTTTTTGTTGGGGCACTGACTCTTTAAGAGGTGGGATGATATATTGGTGCACACACTTGCATTGGAGCCTTTATTTACCTTTTCTGCCTCCATTGATCCAGTCAACTTTCACTATGAATAGAAATTAAAATACCTAAAAGATGTTATTTGCCCATTCAGGTATATTTTATAACTTTAAAACAGCACTAAAGGCAGGCAGTAAAATCCTTTAAAGCTCCTGTGAGTCGGTTGGCAGAAAAGCCTGGGTTGAAAATTTCAGCTGTTTTCATTCACACTGAGAAATTTTCTTCAGTTTTGTACATATATGTATACAACCTTTTTTTTTTTTTCCCTGAGTAGGGACATCGAAACCAGACTGCATTTTTGCCTGACCTCTGATCATCAGGTCAGATGTTTCTCAGGATGTTCTGCATCTATTCTTCAAGTTTAAAGCTCAAGCTCACATGAATTTGATTGTTAGGAATTTCCTGTAATGCTACAAAGATTGCTGAGCTGAAACAAATCAACTCTGCAGCTGAAACTTTTATTATATATATATATACTTTTTACATGTTACAAGTCATATTAAGGTTCATAAATGATGTTCAAGTTATGCTTTTGCCTTTTACAACCCGGTTACACAAAATATTCATTGTGGGGAGAAATGTTCACGGTCTGCAATCGTGACAAGTCACCTCAGCCATCTGCCAGGTTTCTCCATATATAAAACAGCTGATTGCTTTTCTTTACTGCAGCTCAAATCCAGGAGGACAGCAAATGTCTCCAGTGACCCATTGCAGTTTAAACCTCACCGCTTTAGAGGCCGCTACATGTGACAGTGTCTCTGACATAAAGGGAGGTTTTTGTGTCACATAACTGCCCCATAAACCCTCACACCTGGGGCCATGGTCTTTCCAAACCTTGAGGGAAAAGAGCTAAACCCCCTCCTATGTATCCATGAAGTTCATATTCTATCTCATGTCCTCTAAGAGAGACAGTATATGGCTGTGTGGGAGTGTAAGCACTGAGTTATAGGTATGATGCAATGCCATAGAGAGGCAAAGACTCCCTCATGGCCTCTGATTTAACGTCTGCTGCATTGTTTGCATGTCGAATAATCCTCCTCCTCCTCCTCGGGATCGGGGTCTCGGGAAGGCTATGAACAGCAGGTTGCTGTACAAGAACTGCAAAACTGCGGTGTAAAGGGGCTCATCACCACAGCACAGCTGAGATTGTTGCTTTTTAGTGTGTTTAGCTAGTCTCCAGGTGGTTATGAGGAGACCATGGGGGTCACTTCCATAGATGGATCAATGAACAGCAGAAACTTCTTTGCCCAGTGCAAACTTTGTATGGTTCTGTGAATGAAGAGACTATCTCTCCACTCCGTTACATAATCCATATGTACGGGGGCTGACCCATTTGTGTTGTTTTTTATTATGTTTGACTTTAAGACTGTTAATTGGGTCTTATTTTCATTGTATTGTCATTGTGTACCCTGTATTTTGTGTGCTTATGCTGTAACATTAGTTTCCCTTTTGGGACAATGAAGAGAGATTAAGATGCTGATTCTGATGGGGTCAGGCAGTGTTGTGTTGTCATTCAGCACTACCCATGGCCACAGATGGGCCATGGTATCCACTCCTGGTGGGATTGTTGTTTATTATGGAGAACGGGGGAAAATGGGTGGAGTCCCCTTACACAAACAGGTCAACTTGTTCGTGCCTGAAGCAACACCAGAGTTCTACAACCACCTAAGGGTGAGGCCTCCACCCTCCAGGGTTTAGACCTCCCCCGGACAGCTGTTCTGCCACCTGATTGTCCGGCCCTGGCATATGAACAGTTCTCAGGGTGAAAAATCTGTAGGACAGGAAATTCGTACATGCTGCCATCAAAGAAAAATCTCAGGAACTGCCAGTGCCTCTTCCAAATAGGAATCTGGAAGTAGGCATCCTTCAGATCTGTGGTTACAAACCAATCTCCTTTGTAGATGGACTGTTTCAGCCTTGGGACAGTCGACATCTTGCACAGCAGACATCTGAGATGTCTGTTGAGTCCCCTCAGGATCTAAAACAGGATGAAGGTTCTGATCTTTCTTGGGGATGAGAAAATATCAGGAATAGAAACCAGCTTGCATGTTGTCTGGTGGCACTTGTCTGATGGCATATTTCTCCAGCAGGGTAATAATCTCAGTCTGAAACACACTCTTGAAGTGGGGGTCCTTGAGGTTACCGGACGATGAGCAAACTGAACATGATACCCCTGGATCATAGTTGAAACTACAGAGGGGCTCGCACCCATTGCTGTCCAAGCTACAAGGCGTGCTCCGGTCTGATGGGGTAGGTTGGACTCAGCCCAGCATCAGGAATGAGGCAAAGGCTTGTGCTGACAGTTATTGTCCCTTTGGCACATGACCCACTCACCAGAGCAATACACCAGCAGCAAGGCTCATGCTTGTCACTCACACTTCACTGCACTACTGCCGCCCCCACAGTTGGGATCAAGCGGATAAGCTGAGTACCTGTGGAGCATCAGTCCCTTGTCAGAACAATACACCAGGAACAGAATGTGGGAAACACTGAGAGCCAATTGCATGGCAAACTGCAGAATGTCTGGAGTATACAGACACCCTGAGAGCCAAATTACAGCTCTTTCTTACACACGGGTAAGTGGCGAAGGACTGTCCTCTCCTCCCTCAGCTTGAAAACACTCTGTTTAGTCTCCTTTTTCAACACAATCTCAACCTGCCCTTGTGGAATCAAAATAATAGGTGACATCCAGGTGCTTTTATACTGTCCTTAGCCACCTCACAGATGGATTGTCTTAAATCTAACCATGTCACCTAACCCCCAAGGGTCAACCCCCATACATATGAAATATGTAACGAAGTGGAGAGATAGTCTCAACACGATAGACGACCCCTGATTCTGGTCTATGAGCTCAATCCAAATGGTTAATCAACTTAACCTTCCTCACGCAGTGGTTTTAAACCAATAACCACTCTAACCAACATGGAATCCCGGTGCAGGGACGACGAAATACCCCTCTCCCTGCCTGGTTTATGCTTCTGTTTCATATTGAATGCATAGATTAAGCGCTTGCTTTTGGAGTAAGCTAGCTAAGAGCAGCTAATTTAAAAAATAAATAGTTAAATAAAAAGCTTCTAGGTTGTGTCCTGTGGCAGAGTTGCTGTCTTGACTGAAGAGTTTAATATGCTAAGGAACAGTTCGTAAAATGTCACTATAGCTGTGCATGTTCTTTCCTACCAGTGTGAGTGAAAACTGATCCTTTTGCAGCTGTGCTAATTTGAAAAAGAGACACATTTTGGCCTAAATGAATGCCTTAACAATAATTTAGATATTTACAAAACTCCAGCACAGAGATACTGTCTGCTTGGTAATGCAGTGTGTGGTGTCCTTAACCTTTTGCACCTGCATTGTGATTCAAAGTGTCTTTTTTGCTCATTTGCACAGATTCAGTAGAAGCCACAACCTGATTTATCACCACACAATGAATCCAGCTACATGGCAAAGAAACGTGTCTACTCTTTTACAGTATCTTTGACCCTGAATAGTAATATCAGTCAAAGTGCAGCTCCCCTCAGCATAGGATCCAGCTCTTTGGGAGGCTTAATATCAACAGTTTTACTCTGGTGGATCACTTGAACGGCTCACATTTAGCTGCTGCAGCAGACAGACACTCTAGGTGAATAAGTCTCACTGTCTCCAGGAAAATAAATGTGTACTAGACAAAACAGACAAATAAAGGTCTGAGTTACCTTTTTAAATTGAAGTGCAAGAAGCTGTCCGTCCATGAAACCCTTTATTGACTGATGCTTATCCACAAAGCCTCTGTCACTCGCCCACTGACAGCCTTGATCTACTCTGAAAGCACAACAACTTATATACTGGATGGATAAATCAGCCTAAGAGGAGCATGAAGTCTGGACAAAGTTTTTATATAAAAAGAAAGGATATTTCATCCAATCTGTAACAAATGTGATGCCAATCAGTCAAGTGTATATTGTAACATTTTATGTAGTCTGTTAAATCGATGGTAAATGCACAAATTCCAACTCCTCTCTACAGCAATAACAAAGTGTTGACTTCAAGAGTGCAGAAGCATATCCAGAGCTAGAGACTAAAGGATGAATATGGACCCTACTGGGCAGGAATTTATCTGACAGTAAAATCTTTGCATTAATGGGTTGAATAACTCTTCAGTGCATAAAAGAAAAACATGTCAGGGAGCCCCCTCTCTCCTGGCTTCAATACCTTGAAGCTATTGGTGCAGATAATCGTGTACTCTTCGCAGAAAACATAAAATCTTGTGACATAAATAATAACACGACCCAGACCCCTCGTTTATTAGACACATTTTTGACAGCAGCCACCAAACCCTGCTGGAAAAATGTGTTTTAATCATCACTTTAGGAGTCAGAGAACATCTGGAGGAGTACTGCTGGAGCTCCATGCCATACTAAACTAGCTCAATTACACAAAATCATCCACAATATGGGGTTCAGGTCTTTCTGATTGGATTTGCTTGGATGCACAGCCAATTACTCTCAAGTTCTCTAATTAGAGCCTGTCCTCTTCATCATATAGAAGGAGTTATACTTTGCAGTTGGGTCTGTTTATGTCATGAGAAAGAGAGTATGGGATCTGAATTAACAATCTTATGTGTATAAGGTTTGCACAAAAACTGTTATAGTCAGCTATACTGTATTTCTCCTGGCTCTTTGCAAGGTCTTCTCCTCCAGCCTCCAATACACCCCTCACCCAGAATTCACCGTAAAGGTGAGTGTGGGCTCACCAAGGGGCCATGGTGGAAACTAGAAATCAGTGTAGAGAGAGTGAGCTGAATGAGAGATGTGCTGACATAACAACAAAAATGGCAGCAAAGTTATTTTTAGCTTCATCACAGACATCTATAGTGAGCCTGGCTGTCATTCAAGTCAGCCCTGCATCTAATTTGCCAGTCTCTTGAACAGATATCTTAAAATGATGGCGTACGATAACTCACTCTTATACAGTGGGTGCAGTGGGAGCCCTAAGCTATCCAGACTAAAATGCTTCATGAATTATTTTTGCTCTGATGTTGAATTAATTCTATGTGGTTTCTGGTGCTTCTGCAGTCAGCCTCAAGAGGGCACTCTGGAAACTGGCATTTTAGCACATCCACATCAGCTTTATCTCTCCTAATACTGAAAGTTGCAGCTTAAAAAAACAAAAAAAAACAAAAACATTTTTGCCTCTATAGTTAAAAAATAATGATAATAATAATAATAATAATAATAATAATAAAGTAAAACTCCTGTTAGATTGGTCAGACATGGCTAGGTTGAAGTGAAAAATGTTGCACTGTTATGAGTTAGCAGAGAGTTGAGGTAATGTATCACAGACCCTACAGTAATGTAAACCACACTGTGAACATTCAGTACGTACAGTGTGTTATACAGTACAGGTAGTATTTGTGGTTGTGGAGTACAGATGGATTATGCAGCTCAGCTCATGCAAGCTGGGTTGCCAAGACTTGCATCATCTCCCTCCTCTTCTCCTCTGGTCATTTGTCATCTCAAATTAAGACGTCTTTTCAGCACACTGTGAGCTTTATACATGTAAGGAACACCACAGTTTGTTGAAATGCATGATTACAAACTAATGGGGGAGAAAAGCTGATTTAATGTGGCGCTGACACATTCTTCTTCCTCACTATGCATCCAGCACGCGTTGGCAGTAAAGAGCTCATGTTGTGTTGTGGCAATGCACAATTTCTTTGTTTATTTATACTGAATTTTATCATCACTATCATCATATCATCGATATAAACAACACCATCACCATAAGTGCTGAACTACCCGGTGCTGAATTGTTCGTTAAAAGCTGGTTAAAAAGTGTCTCAGAAGTAGAAGGGGACTGTTTAAACACAAGTGGTTGTTTCAGTCACTCTATGACTGGGGACAACAGAGGAAACCATGTCCTGGATCAGAGGTTTCACGGCTCACGCTAGGAGGCTTGCCAGTAAGAAGTTGCAGAAGTCAATGCATGATTTAACAAGAGCGTTTACCAGGGGCTGAGTTGTGTGGTCTGGCAGGTAGGGTCTGATGCATCTGATGGTATGGTATGGACTTTATTGTCATTGCACTTGTGCACAACGAAATTGCATTTACGCCGCCAGTCAGGGTACCACCCACCGCACTGAGGGGTGAAGCGTCAAACGCGTTGGGTGGGGGAGAGGTGAGTGTGTGCGTATGTGCATGTGTGTGAAGGTTCATGGATGCGTGTGCGTAGGAAGAGGGGGTTGGGGAGGAAAGTTCAGAGCGTTGAATTGCCGAGATGTGGTTGAGGGCAAATTAGCAGGACTGAGCAATTGAGGCAGCATTGCACCCTGGGCTATTTCAGGCTTATTTCTGCCTGAAATTACAAACCCAATGTAAATCAGTAGTAGCTAATCAAGTGTAGGGCCTAGATGCACAATCTTGGTGTCTATGGAGAGGGGATACCTTTAAGAATTTAGTTCAACTGAAAGATTGGCTTTGACTTTTATAATGCTAGGATGGTATCAGATAAACTACAAGAAAAAGAAAATCTGGATTTGGCAACACACAAGAATAGCAATCAGTAATATATTTCATTTAACTGAAATACACCAAATAATCATAACTATGTGAAATGTGTAAGGATTAGAATCAGTAGTGTCAGCAAGTGTGCATGTGTGAACATGTGTGTGGTGGATGTTGGATAAAGAACAAACCCACAAAGGTGAAAGGTGGGTCGACAGATGGAGGCCTTGCCGAGAGAGGCCTAACGGGTATGCAGCCTGGCCTTTTGTGCCTTCTGCAGTACTGGCCAGGTAACTTAGCTCCTCCAAGCTCTACCCTCCACCATCTCCCTGAGGCTGTAACAAAGAGCAGAGTAAGACACACGCAAGGGGAGAAAGAGGAGGAGCAGAAGGGGCTGAAAAAGAAGACTAGAAAAAGATCTTTAATTATTAAATGTTTAAGCAAACCAAATGTGAGTATAGGTAGATGATGTACTGAATCTGCTCAATAACATCTGACCTGTAATCTCTCCAAGTTTGGGGTCATAGAAATGATGGACAACAATTTTACAGCCTTTTTAGTCTGTAAAGTCTCAGGCAGACATCAATCAAAGAGCTTCGGTGCCAAAATGTGCAAATTCAAATGAAAACATGAGATCTGCATTTTAATTACTGGTTATTCTCTTTCCACAAGGACTGCCTCACATTATGAGACAGCTGTAAATCATGTATGTTGTATATCATTATATTTTTTCCAAAAATGCAAAAGACAAAAAT